CGGATGTATTTAGTCAAACCGAGTGGACAACGAATGGTTATTCTTTACACACTTTCCACATCCACAGTATCCCTCTAACTCTGGTTAGGTCAAAATATACATAATCTATATAAAACAGACCCCAAACTTGGAAAAGTTATTGAAATAATAACATAATTAATTAGTATAGTTGGTTTAATTTCAAGGCTCATCACTTTTAGGATAATCACGATCATGATTTGAATTTGAATATATACATTTTTTTATCATACACACACATTTCCTCGAAATGGCCTAATTAGTCACATGGTTTTTCCTCTGCAATGCATGCTTCGTGGAAATGGAGTTTTAGGGTTCTCTAAATTTTCATTGTCTCATTAGTTCTTATGAGTCTGCAAGTCTTATGTTTCCGTTTGGGAGTCTCTTTTGTGTCTCTTTTTTAATTTGCTTAATTTGTTGACATGTATTCATCTACCCATAACTAAAACTATTAACTTTTAATATATAAAATAGTAAGATAAATAATATTCTACCACCCTAACTTTGGATTATGTAACAAACTCATATTTCATATTTTAAACATTACAGTGTCATAAATCAATTTACGGTTCATTGCAATGTTATATCTCTGTTAAATTTTTTGTCAATTTGATCGTTAAATGATGACGTGGCAAGCATGAGGCCCACTCCCTCGCCCAAATTTTTAAAAAATAAAGGGCAAATTACATTTTATCACCTCAACTTTGGATCACATAACAAATTCATGCATCATCTTTTGAACATTACAATGTCATACATCTATTTACAAATTCATTATAATGTCAAACCTCGTTTCATTGTCCGTCAATTTGTCTGTTAACTACTGACGTGGTGGCGTTGGGCCCACTCCCTCGCACACTAAAACTCCACGATGTTGACTTGTTGACGCTGGAGTGTGGCTAACGTCATTTGCTAAATATATCTCATTTGTTGAACCACTGGGTACAGGTACTGGCCAAGTTGTTGAACCGGCTAGTGCAGCTCCGTTTGTCCTTTGCTCGAATTCATATTCACATTGACATTGGTCTATGTTCTCTCTTTCTTCAACGCTGGCTTCTCCTCTGCTTGGGAATCATTCCGTCCTGGCTTTTCTTCTCATCCGACTTCCTTTTCGTTTCCTGTTTTCTCAATGTCTGAATCTCCCGCTTCGTATGTGGATCTAGAAGCGCGCTCCAGCTCTGATGACTAGATCGGCGATGGAGACGGCGCTCATTTGGGACAATGACGTTTGATGCTCGTTCTCTTTTAGATCTACATCGAACCCGTTGACAAGCTTCCATTTCTCTAATTTTCGAAAGTTGCAGTCGATCAACAGCCCTAAATCAGGCTCAACCTCTCATCTTTCAATCCCACTTCGGGCGTAACTCAAAAATTAAAAAAGTTTCAAGCATCAAGTTTTTTTTTTTTGTTGTTGTGTTTATTTATTTATTTATTTTTTGCTTTGAAAATCTTTAGGGTTCAGATTTCATGAGGGTGAAAAAAAAAGGGAAGAGGGAAATAGCTGGGGATAGAAGCAAGGGAGGGAGCCACGCGGCGAAAAACCAGAAGAAGACAAGGACGCTGGGTGGACACAGGATTGGATATATTTAGCGAACAAGATTAAGCCACACTCCACCGTGGACATGTCAATAGCGTCGAGTTCAAGTGGACGAGGGAGTGGGCCCCCTGCACCTACCATGTGAACAATTAACAGATAAATTGACGGACAAAGAAACGAGGTCGAACATTGCAGCGAATTCGTAAGTTGATGTATGACATTACAATATTCAAAAATGAGGTATTCGTTTGTTATATGATTCAAAGTTGAGATGGTAAAATGTAATTTTCCCTTTTTCATTTTTTAAAATTTGAACGAGCGGGTGGGCTCCGGGCTTGCCATGTTATCATTTAACGGTCAAATTGACAGAATATTTATCGGATGTCTAACAATGAATTGTAAGTTGATGTACGATATTGTAGTGTTTAAAAGATGAGGTATGAGTTTGTTATGTAATCCAAAGTTGAGGTGGTAAAATGTAATTTATCCAAAATAATAATAAAATGAAAGATAAAACAAACTAACACCCGCGCCACTCGTGACTTCCTTCATCCATCTCGCATTCCACGACCGCAATTCTCCACATCAGTCCTCTCCATCTCGCATTCCACGACCGCAATTCTCCACATCAGTTCTCACCTACAGGCTACACCGCATCCCTTCAGGCACATATATATTACTTGTCGCCAGATATTCAACCATAGTGTCCTTATTGCCCCAAGTTTTAAGATTCGGATAATGAATACAATATTTCTCTCCCCCTCACCCCAAAAAAATTAAAATTAGAAGATGAGTGATTCATGAATCTTATGCAATAAATAAAAGAAAGAAATCAAATTTAAACACATAAAACACAATAAACTTGATCAAGGAGAGGAGGAGGAGGTGGTGGTCACGACGTGGTTGAAGGAAAGTTGGGCAGCGAATGGGGATGGAGCCGACGGTAAGGTGTTACGGATACCGGAGTTGTGTAGGGGATGTTGATGGTGTGTTGCTCAGTTTATCTTTTATTTTAATTTTGGTTATTATTATTTACTATTAATTATATTATTATAATCATTAAAAGTTAAAGGTGTTAATTTTTGAATTAAATATATAAACACATGTGAACAAATTACAAAGAAGACATACATGAGATATCAAAACGGGAATAGTCGACCCTCTTAATAAAACAATCATCCTAGCAGTCTAGAGATTACAGAATAATCTTAAAACACGTGTTCTGACTGGAAAATCTGAACATCCACTACCAGACACATGGGGAAGTTACAACTTCAAATGCATGGCCGGATGGCCCCCAACCCGTGGGGAGCCTAAATTATTACATGTGGTAGAATTATTAGAGAGACAAATCAAATATCTACTTCTAACAATATCGATAGTCTTAAATTTGATAATTACTAAATGCATAATTCGTCAGGTATAAAGTTTTATCACAAAATGTTTTGGTATTAGTTTGATCGAGGTTAGAATATTTAAACTCTTCTTTTCTCATAGATACAGTCATATGAGATATTTCAACATAAACATCGTATGGACCCTAAACCCAAAAACTTAGTTGGTATGAGATTCAAAATTGTTTTTAAATTTTAATAATTAAAAAAGAAAAAATATCCAACGACAACTCCCCATGTATTTAGAAATTACTACCAAATTCAATTAGACACATCAAGATATCCAAATAGAGGGTTGGAGGAGAAGGAGACGAGAGAGAAAGAGGAGAGAAAGATAGGAGAGAATAAATTCAATTGGACAGAACAAGAGATCCAAAGAGAGTCGGAGGAGGGAGAGAGGAGAGAGATAAGACTGAGTGATTCAGAAGGGAGGAGAGAGAAAGAAAGGAAAGGGGAGAGAGATTAGATAAAGATAAAGAGCTAGCACAGAAATATCGGAAGTGAGAGGCAAGAAGAGAGAAAATAGTGGTTTGAAGTTTAAGAACTCTAAAAAACTCATTTTTTGTGTTTTCTAGAAGTAGACTAATTTTTAAGTTAGTTTTAAGTCTAGTTTTTGAAAACAATTCAGCCAAAATAGGTATTCAAATTTCAAAATGTAAAACTTAAAAAAAAAAAAAAAAAGAGTCTAAAAAGTTGGATTCAAATAAAGTACCAAACAAGTTTAAAAATATTTGAATGTGTATTTTAGATTTCAATGAAAAGTATACCCGTACGAAACCTAGGTAAATTTGGTCAAAACCAACCAATTGAAGTATTGAACTAAGATTAATTAATTAATAATAACGTTAATAGTAATTAGGGCAAATATACAGTACTCTTTAAAACCGGGGAATTGGTTAACTGAACGATAATGTAATTACGTTTATGCATAACATTCTACCTAGTGTACAGAATTAAACTTATTATAGTAATAACAATGTCTTTATGTATCATATTAATTTATTAACTATAATTATGTTACATTTTATAAATACAATGGGTTAAACATAATAATTTGGTCGAACTAGACGAGAATCAAACTTAAGATCCTTTACTTATAGATAAAGATGAATACGCTAGACCATAGTACTAATGTTCATTATTAATATGCAATATTGGACAGTTAACTTTGACAATTTTATGATATAACTTTATCTTTTTTGTAATTCAAACGTTCAATGTTTATGCTTAAGATCATATGGTAGCTAAGGAGCTTAAAAATGACTAATGATAATGTGTAATTACATGACGTTCACTAATAATGACTTATTTCTATTTGTAACGTTGTTAATGGTGTAAGAATCAAAGTTAGTTGTGTAATAGACAATATCATGTATAAACTTACTATTATTATGTAACATTTGACAATGAACTTTTGACGATTATATATTAAATTAAATATTATTTAAACAAATGACCATAAGTTTTTCTTTTAGAAACAGAGTACCATAGAATTTCCCCAAGTAATAGGCTTTAGATATTAATTTCCACCCTGAATCATGAAGCTCCAGAAACTCGTACTATCTTTGCGGAAATGACAATTTCTTTATGAGAAATGATCAGGGGATTTTCCCACAAGTGTGATATTCTATGGTTGATGATGAATAATCTTTGAGGAAATGACTTTCTTTATGAAAAATTATAAGAGGATTCTCCTATAAATATAACATTTTATAAATTCTTTGTCACATCACAAAATATTAATTTTTATGGTAATATTATAAAATATTACGCTGAAAATATAAGGAACAAATAATCTATAAAGTGTCTAAGTTTTAAGAGAGTCCTTATCCTTCTCTTTCTTTATTCATCTCACCACTTCCGTGCCACTTACGACACGATCATACGACGAAAGATTCATGGCAGCTCGCAGCCACCAAGCCGCCACCAAGCCGCCTCACCCTTAAATAATTCCAAGTTTCCAATCAGAAAAGAAAACTAGAAAACCGCCCCGCCATAAACCACATAACAAAAATCACGTATATATCACCATACGCTCTATAGTTAAATCAATATTTTCATCACTAACCCCCCCCCCCCTCTCTCTCTCTCTCTCTCTCTCTCTCTGTGATGGAAAATTACCCAACATTCTTTTCTTCATCCACATCGCCTGCTCCTTCTTCCTTGTCATTGAACATGGGAAACCCAGCTCATCATGCTTACAATAGTACTGATCTTCGCCAATTCCAAAGTAGTAAATCATCGAATGGGTTCTTAGGGCTGATGTCAGAGATGGGGGCTTCAAACAACATGATTAAGAACAATTTTAGTTCTCAGGGAAAAAGCGTCGGAGGATCTGGAACTAGTGCGCCAACTGTGAGATTAGGGATGAAAAAAGGAGATCAGAAAAAAATAAGAAAGCCGAGATATGCTTTTCAAACAAGGAGTCAAGTTGATATACTTGATGATGGATATAGATGGAGGAAGTATGGTCAAAAAGCAGTGAAGAACAACAAATTTCCAAGGTATGTACATACAGGTAGCTAGCTTCTTAATTAGTTTTGTTATGAATGATATATATATATATATATATGTATATGTATCAATTCGATTGTGATCAATATATACGTTATAGCTCCAAGCCTTCTGTTTCCCTGATCAGCTCTTAGCTAGGCTGCTGAAAAATATCTGGATATTTATGTAAGATGATCGGCAGACAAATAAACTTGAATATAATCCGAAGACAATATAGCATGTGTATAGTTGTGTGAAGAATATATTCACAAATGGTATGGAACTTTCTTTAGATAAATCATGCATGTTGAACTCATGTTTGATTAACTACCAGGTCATCCGTTATAGATCATGGTGTCCTTTCGCTTCTTAAATCTTGCAATTCTCTCGATGGGCTTGGTTAGAATGTTCACTTTACTACTGTTTAAGCCTTGTAGTACTAAAAAAGTATAAAAAAAAAAAGATCTATAAACTGAATAGATAAGGAATTGTTTCTGTAGATCGAGTTATGAGTACTAATAAATACGATCCCAGGCAATTTTGGTTTTAGAGTACTACTCTTGGAGATTCAAGCAGTTAATAAAGTTAAAGAAGCCCTAGCTCAAGTAATTGAAACTAAGAAGCTTAACAATGCAACATTAATTAGAGTGGCAAAATTTGTATAAGGAGTTTGCCAGTGCAGTCAACTTGTTCTTGATATTTGCTGCAGCTGCTGCTTCTGAGACTTCGTATCATAATGTTGAGACTGAACCTCATATTGGAGAAAGATGAGACCTTGCATGTTATAAGGAGTTGAGTTAATCCCTATATTGCCAATTGGTTAAGATATGGTGATAGCTCAACATTTTTCAATAAGGTCACTGAGAAACATTTAATGTTATTTTTAAAAGAGGGAATTGTTATTAGCATTCCAAAAATCTCATTTTACACTCCAAACTTTCTATAATTAGAAAAAAAAAATGTACTTCTAAGCAATGCAAAATGAAAATTTTGAAGTGTTAATAACAATTCTTTTAAAAGAATTAAATTCTGATACATCAAGGGGAAAAAAGGAACTGGTCTAGATATGATCTGCGTCTCTATTAGAATATTCTGTTTGATGATTTGATCATGTTCTGATTCCACATAAAATCGAGTCATTATCTTCATGCAAATGTTTGGATTCTTCAACTGCTCGTATATAGAACTAGTGCCCAGAAAACATTACTATATAATACATATTCCAACCTGCATAGAAATAAATCCATTAGTTTCCAAAAAAATTAGCAGTTAACTTGTGTATTTGTTTATTATTTCTTACTTTTTGCAGAAGCTACTACCGATGCACGCATCAGGGCTGCAATGTGAAAAAGCAAGTTCAAAGGTTAACGAAAGATGAAGAAGTCGTTGTGACAACTTATGAAGGCATGCATTCTCATCCCATCGAGAAGAGTACTGATAACTTTGAACATATTTTGAGCCAGATGCAAATCTACACTTCATTTTAATTAGTTATATGTCAATGTGCACTGCGTAAAGAGACATATAATATTTTACATGCAAGCTGTAGTTTGTGAATAATTGTGTAGTTTAATTTGTAACAAAAATAAAATGTACGCATACGCGTCAGGAATTTAGATTTCACACTATTAATTTCAGGTTTTATTCTATCAGCTCTTACTTCCTTAACCTACTCAATTTTATTTGTTTACCCTCTAATCATATTCACATGCACTCCATTCAATTTCGATATTGTTTCCAACATAATTTGTTTACTCTATCCCTCTTGATTTTTAGGCTCCCTCACACACACACACACACCCTGTGAATCTTCGTACTTTAAAATAATGTGTTTATTATAAGTTTTCTTATATATGATATACACATATGTATATGTGTATGTATATGTTTTCTTTGAGTTGATAGAATCTTTAGCTCTCTATTAATCCCTTTAAAAGCTTCTTGTAGACTTTTATGAGTCGGTTGAGGTGTTGTGGCAATATATAGTGATTACAGACTTCCACCTAAGAACTTTAGGTGATGACTATCTCAACCTTCCTAATTGGACGTGTGTTGTATTATTCTATCTCCACCATTTATAGGCAACCCATTTATAGGGCAACCGTTTGTCAATCCAATGTCGACTTACATTACCACGCAGCACCTTGTAGGAGAATTCATTTGGTTTGATCTGTAGCCACCCAAGCCAACCAATTAGAGCCTAGTGTTGGCCGCCTCTTTTCCAGTATAAATAGGAGGACTGCTCCATGGTTTTAGGAGCAATGCTTCACTTATTACATTTTTTATACCATATTTGTACCACCTCTTTAAAAGGAAGTAGGGTCCATCAACATATTTCTGTTTTATCTTTATTAAAGATGTGATACAAATGTAGTATGAAAAATGTGGTAAGAGTGACATTTTTGTTGTTTTAGAACGTGAAAATGAAAGAGACTGCATGAATTCCATGCAAAGTGAAAGTCACCTATATACATACATAGTTCTAGCACATGTGTGATTTGTAAATCATTAGCATATTGTATTTAGGATACTAGAAGATCATTTCCTTTTAGGATTGTATAATTAGGCAACGAATCCTCCTTGATTTACTCTAAGTAAAGGCACAAAGATTGAGGAATAAAGCACATAATTTCTCAAGTCTATTCTCCGTCTTTCTATCTCCTTTGCCTCACCTCTCTCTCTTTCTCTTAGATAAAATAGATCATAACAATTTTAAACATATATACATTAGAGAGAGAGAGAGAGAGAGAGAAGAAAGAGAGCTTAGTTTAAGTGAGTTTGTTAGATTGTTGGTGGGTTTGTTTTGTCAAGATTCCAGGTATCAATTGAGGTGAGTGGTTTATGTAATGTGTTCTAAAACTTCTTGTTTTACGGCACGCTTAACTGACATATTATATATTATGCTCACTGCACGACAGTGATTGTTGCTCAGCCCTCACCCTTTTATTTTACTGAAAATATGACTTTAGCCCCTGAAACTTAATTTTCTCTACATAAAACCCAACATAAGTTTTTTCTCTTGAATAAAACCCATTGACTAGATTTCACACTAACAAATTCATTAATTATGTTTGACTTCATGCATTAAAAAAATTTCGGATGACTAAAATACCCCTATTTGATTTATATTTTTTTTATAAACTCTATTTGAATGTTTGATGTACATAATTAATGCCATGCGGATGGATGGTAAGGGAGAATTAATGATGTTACAAAAAAAAACAATAATGTTATAAATTCATTGCCTAATATATAATAACATAAAACATGTCTAATATATGTTATTATACATGCTTAATTAAGTCAATAAAATTATATTTTACATATTAATGTAGGTAAATTATTTCACACACACACACAGATATATATATATATGCCTGATATATGTAAAATTCATGCAAAATAATTTACCTACAAAAAAAATAAAAACATTTGATTCAAATAGTGCACCTACTATTAAAATTTTGAAATGTTAGATTGCTTAAAAAAAGAAAAATAATATACCCAGTATATGTAGAATACATGAAAAATAATTTACCTACATAATAACAAAATCATATATGCAAAATACATAAAAACTAATTTACCTTATAAATTCATTGTTTAATTTTTCAAAGAAACAATGTTTCTACAAGTTTTTTTTTCCCCAAAAATAAAGTACCTATTATTTAATTTTTACGAAAATTGTGTAACTATTGTGTAATTTAAAAAAAAAAATTACATATTGTTTATTTTTTATGAAAATAATGTAACTATTGTTTAGTTTTTACAAGAAACAATGTATGTCACATCCCGGCCCGGGGCGAATCACTTCCCGGGCCCGCTCCACCACCGTAACACGATATTGTCCGCTTTGGGCTTACCATTCCCTCACGGTTTTGTTTTTGGGAACTCACGAGCAACTTACCAGTGGGTCACTCATCATGGGATTGCTCTAGCCCCCTTCTCGCTTAACTTCGGAGTTCCTACGGAACCCAAAGCCAGTGAGCTCCCAAAAGGCCTCGTGCTAGGTAGAGATGAGAATATACATTTAAGGATCACTTCTCTGGGCGATGTGGGATGTCACAATGTATCTATTCAAATCCTCAGAAGGAATCTATTCAAATCCTCAGAAGGAATCTTTCTCAAAATATGTCATATTGACCTCAAATACCCAAAACGTCCATAAACGTTAATTTGGGAAAGCTGCACGCTGGGGATTTATTTCATTGCCACGGTCAAATGACTTGGTAGAAAAATCTGAAACTTTGATAAAATCATCTTGAAAGAGTCACGAACATTCTCCAATTGGAATCACTCCAAAATTCATCCGTTTAATCACTTTTTGCTCCAGATGAAATCGCATGTCCTACGTTGAAAATATATAACAAAGTATCAAAATTCTACAAAAATAACCAATAAATTATAACTAAGAATATATAAAATATATGGTATAATATGGACTCATCATGAGGTTTAATCAAAATTCGACTTTCAATTTACCAAACACTAAATAACCTAATAACTCTTCACTTTGTCGAAAAAATTAATAAAGTGACCTCGTTTAAAGGACAAATATCAGTGGCCATGCTAGAAAGCAGAATTTATTTGTTGAATGTTTAAACGTGTCAGATTTTCTGGCACCAAACGAAGAGTCGTCCATTGCCCCGAAAATGGCGACCAGTGCGGCTACAACATAAATAAGATCGGAAAAAAAAGAAGGAAAAATGTAGCATTCTTACATATGCTGCTGATCACCATTTATTCTTAAAATACTCACGAAAAATAAGCCCCTTCGATTAGATCCTTATGACGTATTAGATTGAACTTTATGCCAAACATTATGTATGTTCATTTTTTAAAGAGAGAAGTTTACACCTTTATTGTTGAATGGACGGTTGAAAGGATAATAAAAAATAAAAAAAAAACAACTGAAATGACATAAAATCGAAAATAATGCTTATCCATTGCACATTTGAATTCCGGTGTCTAATTTGTGCTCATGACTTGGTGTTGGGAAGAGAATCACATCACAAACAAGAGTCAGTTCTTTGGCATAACATATGGACCTTTTTATTTTATTTTTATTTTTTTCATCAAATTGCATTGTTTACAATCCCAAAACGAAACTTTTAAAGCATTTCCACCCGTTTTTGTGGATTTGGATCTACAACTAGACTTATGACATTACTATTTACTTAATTATAAATTGTCGTGGCGAATTCGATATCAAATTAGGCCGTTCATTATGTAACTTAACAGAACTCCATTTTTTCTTAGTGTAAAAATATCAATGTTTTAAAAAAATAATAATAATAAACTGTCGTGACAGTTACTATTCACTCATTGTCAAAAGTAATTCACATTGATTTATTTTATTTTATTTTATTTTAATCTATAATTTAATTATTTAATAATTATTGAATGGATGAGATTAATTTAGAATATGTGACTGATTATGCCACGTGTCCATGTCTATAAAAAATATAGTTTAAAATTTCGAGTAGATTTCGGTTGCTCTTGTCATGTCATGTGTCTTCATCTTTCTTCAACTATGTGTATCAAAAATCTTGCTTAGATTCTAGAGAAGATTTCGGTTGCTCTTGTTTTGCTTTGACTCCACCTTCGACGGGAGATGCCATTTTTGTAAGCATAAACAAAATAGGAATGTAGAAAGTAAAAGATTGTATAGAGTCTTGGTGTGGGAAGTGACAAAAATGATTTAGTAGTATTTGTAGAAGAAATTTACGAGTAATCGTTGGAATGTTTTTTTAACTTTTATTCGATTCTTTTTTTTATTTTTAGATTTAAAATAAATATTAGTACAAAAAATAATAACAATCGTTGGATTAAAGTAAGAATTTAAAATGGATATTTGAGATTGGGCCATGTCGTAAGTAGCTATTGAAAGCCATCCGACAATTGTGGCGGGTTGCAGGTTTCAGAAACTGTCGCGCCACTCGCCAAGCTAGCAGTGTGTTGGCAAAAAAAAATAATAATTATAGGGACATGCTAACATCAACGCCAAAGATTTGAGTTTGGACTCATAATCGACATGAAACTAGCCATAGCAGATGAGTCTTGGCGACCCAAAAATAAGTGGAGTTGTGTTTTGGGTTGAATTTGGGATTTGACCATGTCAACTTTAACATGGATGAAAATGCTCTACAATTGTATAGTATTTTCGGTAATTTGTTACCTAGAAAGTCAAAGGCTAAGTGACACTGTATAAGCAACATTTAGGGTATTAGGATTGTAACATTTCATATTATTATAGTAAGTTAAAAATTCATAAACATTTGAAAAATAAACACACACTTTACTTTTTAAAAATAAAAATAAAAACTTTAAAAAGTAAACACAATCACTTAAATAAAATAAGAATCTAGCGACTAATTTGACCAAAATTAAAAGCAACCCAAGCGAGATTTACTATATTCATGTGAATTATTTCCTTTACCACTATAAATGGATTATTCAATTATTGTTTACTAATAAATAATAGGGGAATTAACTAGGGGTGAATTGTAAAAACCAAAAACCGAAAAAAGGGGACCAAAATCGAAATCATAACCGAAAAAATCGAACCAAAAATAGAAAACCAAACCAAACCAAAATAGTTTGGTATGGTTTCGGTTTTTGTGGTCCGAAAACCGAATCGTACCGTTCCAAACCGAAGTTAGTGTTAAATGATGTCGTTTTACCCCTTAGATAGGTGATGTCGTTTTTTACTCATAAGTTGGTGCCCTTTTTTTTATTTGTATGTAGAAATGGCAAGTGGAAATTCAAGAAAATGTGCTATGTTGCCCCTAGGCAACCTAAGCGTTAGGAAGCAAACTCTTAGTCAAACGTGAGCGTTGAGCTTGAGGAATTGAAGAAGTGTGGAAGACATGAAACTTTGCATGTTTATTTGAATTTATGATTTTAGTTGGAATGTTTAGGTGTAGAAGACTTGAAGGTTTAGGTGTAGAAGACTTGAAATGTGATGTTTCTTTCAAGTTGGACTTTTGGAAGACTTTAACTTTGATGTTATTTTTAAGTTAGGACTTTTGGAAAACTTGAAACTTTGATGTTTATTTTAAGCTTTGGACTATAGATGACTTGATTCTAGTTAACTTTGAATGTTTGAACTTTGATTTTAATGTCTTTGATTTAGGTGGAATATTTGTTTTATTGATTGTGTTGGAATTGTTAATTTGAAGTTTTTTTTTTTGAAGAAAAGAAAAGGAAAAAAAAAAAAACCGGTACCAAATTGAAACTGAACAAAAAAACCAAATAAAAAAATCCGAACCGAAAGAAAACCGACGAAAAAGTGAACCGAATAATAACTTCGGTATGATTTCAGTTTTAGCAAAAAACTGAATCGAATTGTACCGAACTCACCCCTAAAATTAACGTAGAGTCAACACTATTTATGAAACAATCCAATTATAATAAGTTCTTATATAATTCTGGGTATTTTTTGAGAAAGCACCTGTTGTTAATCGCGGTCAAAAATATATTTAATTAAGAGAGAAATTTACACAGAACACATACACAATTATCACGTGACATTTTAATTTTCATAATACAATCTCATATATTGAACATTTACAAATTTGCAAATATTCTTATTTCTATTAATTAATGAAATCCTCTTTGTCAACCAAAAGAGGGTAAAAAGATTATTTAGTTTTCTATTATACACAAAAAAAAATGATGGACAATAATGTAATTTCATAAGTCAAAATTTTACTACCTCCAATATTAAAAATAAAATAAAATAAAAACCTCCCACTTCTCTCTCTCTCTCCTTTTTATTTTCTAAAAAAATGTGTTCACTCGTACAAAATATATAGATAAATGCTAATTTTATTAAAAAAAAAGCCACAATAACGATAAACTCGTTGTTGTAAATTACTTCTTTGAATAGCGAGTAAAAGTTATTTTAAAAAGGGCCTTTGTAGTACTAATCGAGCCCAAGGTCATTTTGCTTTCACGGGCGGAAATAGGGTTGTCGCCTTGCTCTACAGAAGTAGTCGATTCTCAGTTTCCTCAGTAGCGAAGGAGGGAGAGAGAGAGGAGAGAAAATACCCGGAATTCGGAAAGAGAGAGAAAATTCGATTTCTTGTGAAACAATTTACCAGCTCTGTGATCTCCAAAGGAGGAGGAGCTCCGATGCCTTGTCGCTCTGCCGTTTAGTCTCCGCGAGAGGATACCTAAATATAATCAGAGTCGATGGCTGCTCTCCCTCTAGGCAAGCTCACCATTCTCGTCGGCGCAGGTCCGTACAAATTCCTCGCTCCTCTTTTTACTCATTCAATTTTGTAGTATCTCAAACTCCATGGCAGTCTATTTTGTTACGTTCTCGAACCCCGTTGTAATTGAGTCCCGAACTGGTTTATTATTTTTAACTTTTGATTTTGGGCATAGTACTGGCGGAAAGCAATCATGCCCATGCACCTGGTGCGGGTTCGATCCCCCTCCCTCCCCCAACATTTAACAATTCAACCCACTACTATCGTTTGTCAAAAAGAAAAATGTTAGGGTTTTCGATTAACCCTGGTTCTATCATTTGGGAACACTGAAGGGATGCTGGGTGGTAGCTGGAGGAAGTATGCTTTCTTTTGAATGTACTGTTAATCCGACATTGCAATGGAGAAAGGCGTCTGAGAGTGTGAAAGTGGAGCTGTATTGGTATTTGAGTATCCGAGCCATATTAATTCTGTTGGTTTTTGCATTTGATTAAAAATGTGCAGTGTTTTATGTTTATTAAGGAGCTTAAGTCGTGCTTAAACCAGCCAAGACTCTGTTTTGTTATATGGGTTAGTGGTATTTTTAGGAGAATCGGATGGTATGCTGTGAAACGTGAAAGTGTAGGCTTTTAGGTATTTTATAACTAGGTGGAAAATGGTTCCCCTTGTGTGGTTATGTGCTTTCTTGCTTCTCGATTTTTCATGCCCGCTTGTCACCTGTCCAGTCCCATTTGAGTACTAGCTCCTGACCTCATCTAAAGGGTTCTAATCAATCTGGGTTGGTCTTCATATTGGTAGTTTCTCATGATTGGTGAACCAACTTATTGCAATTGTGGGGTTTGACATAAAATTGTTAATTTATGCTGTCTTAGTTGAAGAGCATGTATTTCTAATCAATTGGTGTTTCGTATGCTTCTTAGGCATTCTTGGTTCAGTTCTTGCAAAAGAAGGACGTGTATCTGATGTTGTCTCTGGTGCTTTCAAGGTAGTTTCTCATGCTACTTCTGTTTTGTATTCTATATGTTAAAAATTGCACTTCAAATTTGCTGTTTTAAAGTCTATGTATGGGTGGCATCCAATGTATTACATAATACATACTGATCTTGCTGCCAGCTGGTGATGTTGTATCCAAGGACTGAGTATTTATATCAATCAGGATAGGAGGGTAGAGGTTCAATGTTCTTGAGGGCTTTTGAGAAGAGATTAGGACAATAGGGAAATCTGTGTGTCATTACAACTTCCAAGATTTTATCGGGATACAATTTGCATATTTTGTTGGGCTTGGCTGTATTCTTTAAACTATATTTAAATAAAAATCTTCAGTTTTAATGTTCTTTGTTTTTCTTTAAATTGTATAAATTTTACTGTATATCATTACGACCATAAGATTTTATAGTATTTGTTTTGACCACAGATTGCTTGGAAACAAATTAGACGAAGTGATAATACTTCGGCGGTTAATAAACCACACAACGACTCTCTGATGGCTCAGGTTTCGTATTTTCTTCTACAGTTTTTATTACTTATAATTGCTTTTAAAGTAGTTGGATACTAGAACAGTTAGCCTTACCACACACATTGAGCAACGACTTTTCTTTTTCTCAGTCAGCATCTGTGTGCTTTCATTATTGGAGCTTCGTATTTTAGTGAATGGCATAATGTGATTAAATAATTAAATTTGACAGATGAACAACCTACGGAAGGAGCTGGAGATAATAGCATCATGTCGACTACCAGTTACAGTTATAACTATGAGTCGAACAGGTTTTGATTACCTTCCCTTGAGTTCTGAACATGGTTATTTATTGTCTGGATTAGTAAGCACACCAACAAAACCTTAATAAACTAACAAAATTACGCGGTTTTTATATCTTTTTTTTTCATCCAGTTTGTAAACATCTTATGGCTCAGCTAGATGAGCATGAATATATGTTATTAATCAAGTACAAGGTTTTCATAAAATTTATTGTTATGTGTTGTGTATATAGGTCTGTAACTATCAGTTTGTGATATTCTGTGACATGGTTTTGGTTACTGCAGGTACTAGCAAATATGGTATAATTATTGTTGTAGTAGCCGCAGGATATGGCTACTTCTGGTGGAAGGTAAGAGGTTTTATTTAGTACGATATAATAAAGAGGTTAAAGCTTCCCCCTGGGCCAACTGATCAAACTTCTTTTTCCAAATTCTACCTATCACTAAATCGTGGATGTTAATAACATTCTTGATTTGAAAAATGACTATTTATCTATGACTTCTGTGGCTAACTTGTTTAGCCATAAAGAGAAAAATTTGTACTTGAAAATGTAGTACTGATATGTGTTTGTGAATTCCTTTACATTAGTGAAGACATCAAACTTCAGCCATTAGATACTTTGGTTCTTTTCAGTTTTGGTATCTACTACAATTGCTCAATGATAAGCACTACCAGTTAAGACATGGATTCAACCCCTTTATGTTTCTCCTTGACATTTTGATATGATCTACTATAAATAACAATAGTGGATCAAGGTATACAACGAGCAGAAGTTATGATAAAAGGCCCGGGTCTCAAAAGAGATGTAGCATTAATAACCATCTTAATAACTTCCTTACGTGCATTTGTTTGGTCCATCCAACTATGCCTGTTTGGGATGCTATAATTCTTTTTCATCTAGTAGGATCCATTAATCAAAATGGTTACTGAAACAAACACTTTGCTTACTTGATATTTGCTTGCCTTTGTCTAGTGGGAAGTTATATCTGAACTTGATAATCTTCAAGTATTCGTGTCATAGTGTACAAAATCTAAAGTAGATGAACCATTTAATAATTTAGAATTGAATTTTGAGTATGCTCTCAAGGACTCTGTGTTTGTAGGGTGTTTATTGCGTAAAATCATAAATTTTTTAAAAGGTTGTAATTATGATAGGTATCGTTCCAAAATCTCACCCTGTTTGGTTTGATAAACAAATTATTTTTGAAAAAAATTAACTAGTGGATCAAACTTTGTTTTCTTCTGTTCTCTCTTGTCAAAGTTGTTTATTATATATGTGCATTTCTTGTATGTTTGCAGGGGTGGAAGCTTCCTGACATGATGTTTGCAACAAGACGTAGCTTGTCTGATGCTTCCAATTCTGTTGCTAAACAGCTTGAGAGTCTGTTTACATCAATTTCGGCAAGTCTTCTCTCTCTCTCTCTTGCTATTGATTTTCTGACGTTACTTTTTCTATTACCAAGTGAAATATTGTGTCTTGTATCTATGGTGGAATGTGTCTTGTATCTATGGTGGAATTGACGTGGTGCATTATGTAATAAGTTGGTCGTTATGTTGTTTCATGGTATGTTAAGTGCTTTCTTAAGAATGAGAGGAGCTTTTGTTTTTCTGTCTTCACTGATGCCATTCAATTAGTGTTTCACATTGACTATATGTCTACGCCATGAATATTCTGTTGCAAGTCAAGTGTTTCTCTCTTCCAAATGTTGTTGGTAAAATTTTATATGGACCCAACCATTTGCTCACTAGACCCATCTATTATTTATTTATATATTTTTCATAAGTTTCAATTCCTTAAACAAAATAAATAAAACTAAAAATGAGCCACCCCCTACCTAGCTGGCAAACTCTCTGCGATGGCGGACCAGATGCAGAAATTTTCTCTGTGAGGTTGCAGCCCTCCATTCCATTCAGATTTTTGATAGTGTAGAGAGCGAAAGCAAGAGATGAGAGCAGGGGCTGATGGTTGTAAGACTTAACGAAGTTGACGTTGTCGTTCCGGTTGGGCATGGCAGATGGTTGTTGGGTTTCTTTAGTTTTTCATTATTTTATCAATTTTGCTGAAGGGCAAATGTCGGAATTTAGAAATTACCAACATTTGGTTGGGTTTTATGAGCAAATTGTTAAGTCCACATATAACGATCCATGTTATGAGGTACTTAATTTATTTCCAAAAGGCCTTGGTTGTGGTTGAAACTTTTGTGATTTAGATGAACTCGTGTGATCATTAGATGATTTCATCTATTTCTGGTGGTTTCATGAAAGTCTGCATAATTCACAAGAAAATTTTATGAACCTGTTATGTTTGTCATGCTTTTGGATTGAATTTTCTTGTAATATGTTTTTAATTAGAAATGAAAAATAAAAGTCTCTAACTTTGTAGATATTTTGTCTGATTTTCAGACCACTCAGAGGAAATTGTCTTCACAACTTGACAATGTGGAATGTAGTTTGGATGAAAGTATAGAAAATACGGCTAAGACACAACAGGAGGTGGGTATGTTAGATATTAATAAGTAGTTTTGTTTGTATTTCTGTGATTCAAGTTCATTAACAAGAAACCTTCTTTGCCATTTATAGGTTGTTCAACTACAAGGAAGGACGGATACCATTAGCAGAGATTTTAAAAAAGTTCACCATGCAGTGCTGACTCTGGTGACTCATTGTTTTATTATTTCTTTTCATCTCTCACAAAATATATTCATGAATGGAAAATCATATTCCTTATTTTTCTTTGGTCGCAGGAAACAAAAATTAATAGAATTGAAGGGAAGCAGGTATATAGTAGTTAACTCTTTTGATTTATGAGTTGTTATTCTCTGCCCTTGAATACTGTTTTGTACTGACGGTCTGGCCTTTGACTTCTAATTAGGGTGAGATTACCGGTGGAGTATGGAAGTTATGTGACTACGCCCTGAACATGGAAAAGGGCATAAATGCAGAACGCATTCAGGCATGTACTGATTATTTCCTGCATAACTGGAAGATTGATATTTATGTCTGATTCTGTAGTCATCTTACGTTACTTTTGCGTTGACTAATGATTGATTGTACTGCTTTATGTAACATTAATTTTTTTGTTTTTTCAGAGTTTATTACTTTTATAGTTTTGTAACTTTATTTTATCAGAATGAGCCTCAATTGATATGGTTCATTTGGCATTTTATTGACTCTGATTTCCACAATATTCAGGCATCACCATCCAGTTTTTCCAGGCCAGTTCTTGAACTACCACCAGCCTCCCCCTCATCTTTGGTGACCCCACCGAAGTCCTCGAGGCCAGCGCTTGAGCTACCCCCAGCATCACCCTCAAGGGTAAGATTGATGTTCAAAGTGTGTATAGTGGTTTGATATGCTATCTTATTAAGATAATATATTGAATTGGTTGGAGGCTTAACACCTCTATTCTTAAAACCAACTCTACAATTGTTTGAATTTTTACTTACTTGACTTTGTCTCATTTTCGGTTGAGGTATTTATAGTCCTATCCATCTCCTGTCGTTTCAGGGGAATGGTGGAATCTTGGAAGTGGTTGAGTCCTCAAATCGTGGCGAGGCTTCCAGTGAGCTTTGTGCTCCAGAAGGCACAAACAATGCGTCTTCCAGTTCTGGTTGGTTCGGGTTTGGGTTTCCAACTTTTAATAGTTCGGCTCTCCTGAGGACGCGAAGTGCTACAACTGGAATGGTTCAACGGAAACGATGAACTATTCAACCGTTATGAGGATCTTTGTATAGATCTGGTAAAGTCATTTAGAGTATATTCATATGATAATTCATCATTTGTACTCTCTGTGAGGTGAAAGCCTTGAGCTTTTTTAGACTGTTTAGTTTCGAGAGCCAAAACCTCAAATATAGCAAACGCCTTGTCCCCAATCGAAGGCACTGTAACGGGACGGGATGCTGAGAATTTTGTAGCGCAGACACGACGTAATATTGGTATTTAAGATGGTTTCATTTTTGAGTATTTGTTTGTGTATGTATATGAATGATGCCTGTTGTCACAGAAGAGGTTTTAGTTCGTTGTTTCGGCCAATAATGGCATCAAAGGTGGAGAAATTCTTGAGGGTGACTTTGTGTATGTACTCCTCTAATAACAATCTAGCTACGTTACCTGACTTTGATGTGATGATTAATTGAGTGGCGTAAGCATTCAATGACACCTAAGAATTTATTATCGGCAATTGCTCCACGAGAAATGCGAGCAATCTTTGCATTTGGACTCTCACGTTTTTTCATCATTAATTCTTAGCTAAAAACATTAAGGTTGTGTTTTTTATGTAAATTATTTGAAGAAGCGAAAATGTTAATTGCAATACGGTTTTTAATAATTACGAATTGTGAAGTGAACACAAAATCAGAAATTACTATGAAATCCTATATCCAGCTTCAGCACGACCTTTTTGAGCCTGCAATGTAAAGAGAGCTGTTTCCCGCCATTTTTCATTGCTCGGCTTCTTTGGCGCGCAAGCATAAAATATAAAGAACTCACACCGCAGTAGTGGCCCACCGGAGAGAGGAGCAAAAATGCAAGTCGTTCGATCTCAGACGAAATCTTTCATCAAGGACGTCGTCCCGACCCTCCCTCTCTACCGCTCCGCTCCCGCCCTCGAATGTCGTCTCGAAGAGTTCGAGCTCTTCGCCCTCGATCGCCTCCGAGGTAATTTTGTCACCTTCTCCAGAAACTTTGTAATTTCTCTTTCGCTGCTGATTTTTTTCTGGCGAAACATCGGGAATTATTAATTTTGGTTTCTGTTTCGTTGCTGAGAAAATTCTGGAAAATGGAAACACTTTTTTCTGGTGCTAAGTTAAACCGTTCACCGTTTAGGGCGTGAAATTAACCGAAAAGGAAGAGCCAGTAAACTTGGGGATGAGAATGATTGAGATTCATAGCGGTATAAGGTCTTGTATTTTTTAGATTAGTTTGTAATTTTCTTATTAAGGTAGAAAATGCTGAAAAAAATTGATTAATTTTATGCTAGAGTGCGACTGTTTGGGAGCTGGGAAAATAGAATTGCTTTCCGAGTCGATTTTAGTACAGCTCCATGGCTTATTTCGGTTGGTCTGGTTTCCCTTTTTCTTCTGGATTTCGGAATCAAACAAAATTTGTGAAATTTGATTCGTGGCATTTTAATGGAGAAGGTTAAGTAAGTTCTTCAATGGAATATGAGTTTAGCGTTTTCCCCGCATGTATCTCGACAGTTGCAGTGATTGATGATAATTACTGCTGTATGCAGTGCTTAAAGGGATTTCTGATGGATTATCATGCGGAAAGAAACCTGACGAAATGCAGAAGTTGGTAAAACCATAGTTCCAGGTTGAAATTCTTTTCATTTCCCTTGTTGCACCCTTAGACAATTAACATTTAGGCATTTTACAGGCAATAGAACTATGGAAGACAAATATGAGGCATCCTCAGGCATCTGAGGTCGTCAACAAGGGCATAATATCACACTTTGTTCTGCGACTAGTTTATTGCAGAACGTAAGAACTTCTAACTTTTATTCTCTTAAAAGATTTCCTCATTATATCTTATTTTACGTTGTTACTTTTTAATCTGCATTTAGGGAGGACCTGAGAAAATGGTTTCTTTCCATGGAGACTGCCTTATTTCGTTACCGATTTATGAATGAACAACCTGAACCGCAGGTAATCTACATTTTACTTGGCTCATTCTGTTAGTCAGTTTATGATCAATATTCTGCTTTTGGTATTCAGCGGGCACTCATGGAAGAATTTGATCTTCCATACAAGGCAGTCAGTGGTTCAGAACTTGAGGTAATTATGTGCCTCGTTCTTTCTAAAGTCTTTACGATATGATGTGCTCAATATAGAAAATGTGCATTTGAAACTAAGACCATTTCGGCATTTTTATGTCAGTTTCATACTTTCTAAACCCTTTAAAGCAATCACCGTATAAGTTTGTCTTTCCTTGCTGAGTGTATCAGATAAATTGGTCCCGGTTTCACGTTCGCTCGGTGCTCAATCTCCACCAACTGGTAGGGGTGCATATTTTATATACTTTGTAATGCCTGAGTCAATAAATTGTGCATTATTTTATAGTTGTGGATTTTCTTAGTTAAACTCAGATGCACTGTTTAAATGTTCTAATATCTGGGTGTGCGCAATAATGGGATGTCTATGACATGTTGTTAGGTCTTGGTCTTGCATTTGGCATGTTTATTTACGTTTTTAGAAGAACACGTACATTGTTCCTTCAAACACGTTTAAAAAAAGTGATTACTTTGCTGTTATCCATATTCTAAGTTTTCCCCTTTACTTTCTCTTTTGCGGCTAGTGACATCTTCTTTAAGGTGTGTTTATCGTTGCTTCATTCTTCCTTTTCAACTGTATATTCTTTAATTTATTATTTGATCATGCTAGTTGATTTAGTTATTGGAGTACGGGAATGAGTCTCCCAACTTCTGTGTATTTGGTATGGACAAAAACCATGTCTGAGGTTCCTGTTGGCTCAATGTTACCAAAAATACATATTGAGTTGTTTCTATTTATAGCCTGTGTTGCTTCATCGACGAAGTCAATTGTTAAGAAAAAGAAATTATTGAATGAATTTTAAAATTCTAACCTCGTAAATTTATGTCATGTGTTATATAACTTATGTTTTATCATTTTGTTTTCTTTATGTTTAATTTGTTATTATCCTAAACCTCCATTAAGTTACCGTTTGAAGAAGTTCCAGAACTGGTAGCCAGTCGTAGGGTATTCATCAGTAAGGGGCATGCATATATAGCTAGAAGTCAGGTTTAGTTAATGCTTTCTATTACTTCTTGCATAGACGATATACCTATGAAGTGACGATTATCATTGATATCATTTTTGTTTGTTTGCTTCCCTCTCTCTCCACCCCCGAAACAATAGGTGGTTTCCCTTGTTGCCACACAATTCCGCGGTCTTCTATCAAAGGCACTTATTTTGACAAACAGGTTATTGTTGGCTATTTGTAATTCAAAGCTCATTCGTTATACCTGGTGTTACTATAATTGCTTTGTTATCTATTTTCAAAGAAAATCTAAGCATAAGGTTTTGGATTTCAAAATATCAGAAGTTGCACTTGTGCATGCAGAAAATGGACAACAACTATAGCAGAACAAGAGAAGGATCGGTCGACTCCTGTGAGAATCGGATCCCGAACCTTGTATTTTGAAACAGGCATTTATTTCCAAGTTAGCTTCTTGACATTTCTTTTCCTTCAATATCTGTTTAGATTGTTGTAGCCCTATCCTCAAGTTACCTGGGTCCTGACCATTCTGAGGTAGTTCTTTACTTGTTTTAGCTCATCTATTACCTGTAGGTATTGATCATGTAATTTGAAGTTAATTAGTCTGTTAACTGCCTCTGTAGCCAAAAGAGTTTGGTCAGATTTCCTTAAAAGACATTGATGATGCAGCCAAGAGCTCATTTCCTCTGTGCATGCGCCACCTATTTGAAAAGGTATAAACATTGGGGTTTTGATGTTTTTATGAAACGTAATTCACACTTTTTTGCTAATGTCTCTTCTTTGCTTCTTTTTGCTTGTGAAGATTTTATATCTGCCTCTGCTCTTGTTTTACTCATGCTACTTTGAGGGAGGATCATCATTTAAAGCATGGAGGGAGAATGCAGCTAGGTCTCTTTCTCAAGGTTTTATCCTACAACCTGCATCACTCTCTGGTTTCTGTCCTGTCTTATGTGGGTATATTAGCATTTCAATTAGGCGGTCGGAGTCTAGATGTATGTAATGGGAAACTCGGTAACATGTTATTTGATATAAACCTGCTGTTGCATGTGTATTTGGTACATAAACACTAGATACTAGTCAGTGACGTTTACCACTTATTGGGTTTAGTTGGTGCTTTTATATGTCTATATGCAAGTTAGCTAGAGTTTTCAAAATTATTTGAAGTCATACAGCCTTGTTATGTTGAAAAAGTTGTAGAATTGTGAATGATGATTTTGGAGAATGCAGAATGGCCTATATATTATGTAATTTATAGTTTTTTGTAGCGTATTTTGGCACATGAAAATTGTCAGCTGACGTTTATACGCACAACCTGGCTATGACAAACTGTAAAAGTTATCAAAAGAATCATGAATCTATCTTTCTCGGGCTCTTCTTTCCCCATTGGCTAAGTTTTCTGATTAACCTCTGTGTAGGGTGTTGGGTTGAAGCTGGATGATGCCCTTTCGTTTTGGAAAGCTGAGTTCTCGCAAAAAGTGAGTATGGAGTTTCTTAAGTATTTCATCTACTCATTCTTAATAATCACACCAGGCACAAGATTTTCTTTCAACATTTGTTATCCATGTATGGTGGAAAAATTTGTTGTAAATTTGTAAAATTCCAAAATCATAGTGCATTGTATTATTAAGGTGTTTTCCTGTTCCGTGCCTGGTCCTTGTGACTTGCTTGGAGTTTAATTCCAAGCTTTGCGTTTGATCTTTGCCATAGGTTGGTGCTGAAAGGTTTGACAAAGAGTATTCGTATGGCATACGCCACAATTATGGAAGAGAGGGGAACAGAATGGTAAGACATCAAACTTAAGATTCAAGAGTATAAAGATGATATAGTCTTGATTCTACTCAAATAGTAAGAATTTTGAGTGATGTTATGTCTAGACTCATATCACGGGATCAAAACTGAAATCATGGGAAATATTCAAGAAAAATTGAAACTTCTACATAGTTTATTGCTTGTTGCAGAAGCATTTTGCTGTTGGATGTTATTCTTAGATATATAACATTTTTGTTAAAAATACCATTAGAAACCTGGAAGTACTTGTGAAGAAATATTTGATATATATCATGTTGTGTTGTATGATGACGATCAAATATGTTCACCTTTTGACATTGCAGGATTACACGCCTTATTCCTGTCAAAAAATCATCTCATCTACACCTGGTGTAGGAGATCATCATGGATGCCCATATCGATATTTCAGGTAATTTCGACAGTAAAAAAATTTCATTATTCATCTGATGATGTTTAACTTGTTTTCCAACATTACTGGCTGTAATATATTGGATAGAACTGCCATAGCACGAAAACTAAATACATCAGTGCCTTATTTTAGTAATGCAATGAATTTCAGATAAAGTAGTCATACATACATGGCTGATCAACCATATCCTTTTATTCGCCATACTTAAATCGAATCTCGTCGCCCTAGGACATAGTACTTGCCTATGGCATATCTAACTTTTTCTAACAGATTTGTGCAATACTTTATCGAATGTCTCAATATTTATCTGCGACAGTGAAGAGCACTTGAGAGCCGCTCTTGGTAAAATGGGAGTTACCGGGCGAGCAGTTGGAGATGTAATGGACAAAGCTAAAAACAGGCATTATCAGGTGAAAATGTTACTAATCTGCATCAAAATTATTCCAAGTTGTGTTTTGTTCTGACACAAGGTTATGTGGAATACTTGGTGACGTATGCATCAGCTGGCGTGCACCCTGACGTTCGAAGCTATTCATGGTTCATCATGTGATGCTGGGATTAACCATCCAAATCAGTACTTAACGACAGCCAAATTATTATAAAATCGAAGGTAAATTAAGCTTTTATTTACAGTTTACTATCAGACACCAAAAATTTAGCAAAACTGGTTTTTAGTTGTGCTGTGAGAGTTTGCCTAGGCTTCCCAAAAAGGCTGAAGTTGTACTAGACGCTTATCCGAACCTTTCTCTTTGTAGAACCAGTCTACAGCGTAAGGGAGAGCTTTTTGAGCAGCCGAAGAGACGGATATATTAGCATATTCTCATTCCACGGGTACCTCTCTAAAAATAGGCTATGTACAATGCAGAGAATACAGCATCCAGCCAAATTGGACTCCTTTATTTCAATTTTTATAGGGAGAATGATAACCACATAATTTTGTTTTCTCCCACATATACCGTCTTTTATTTCTAGCCACCGAATTACATAAATCAAAACACCTGCAATGAAAAAGATTGAGGTGTGCTATCCACACATTCCAAATTACTTCTCACACATCTCTTCTTAATTTCTGTTTGTTGATCTTCCTTAATTCATCCGATCCGATAATCGAAAATTAAAAGAATGTGTGAGAAGTAAAATGGGGTGTGTGGATATCACACCCCAAAAAATTAAACAGAATTATGTAGGACGAGAAAAAAAGGTTGGTGGTTATCATGTCTCTTTTTATACCAAGATCTTTTTTCAAACTCAAAAGAAAGCCTCCCAAAGTGCTTTTGATCTGTCCCAAAGTAGGAAGGGCAAATAGTTTGGCTTCCTAATTTAAATTTAAAAACATACGATAAGCATTAAAGAATGCTGCACTGGGACCGATTAAAGAGGAATCTTGGAAAGGGAGGGTTTCTATTATTAGCAAGTGCTGTTCTGCAACGTGGGGTCCACCACTCACATTGCTCCATCTCATCTCTCCCCTGCCTTTTACTTTTCTTTTTTTGGCAGCTGAGCTCGAATTTGTTCTGGTCGGGCTGAAGAACTAATCACGACGAAGCTCGTGACATAACATATTGTTGCCATAAATAGTGTTCGGAAAGTATGTGGCCGACACTCGAGCGTCGAGAGAAGAAAAACGTTGCGAAAGAGCCGGGACCATTTCTTTTGGCGGGTGGTGCTCGCGCGTGCCGAGATTTTAATTTATTTTAATTTAAAATTTACCAAAAGGGTCGTTGACACGTGGTCCTCCAAATCCGAAAGGTCTTCGGGGCGTAAAATTCAATTTGCGGAGAGTTTGAATACTTCTTTTTGTGACCAAGTGGCGGTGGGGGTTAGGCTTCCAGATTTGTCAAGTTGAAGCAGATTAGCCTCTTTAAGAGGTGATTAATTACCAAGATAAGCAAAACTGATTAATGTTTTAAGGAAAAAGGATGGAGGAGAGCTCAGATCAGAGTTGGCTTTCTAGTCGGTATCCATTGCCCATCCCTCTCACAATGTGGGTCCCCCCTTTAGCTCCACCTGAGACATCATTACAATTTTAGTACTCAAGCAAAGGTCTATCTAGTTATTGATAATGGGTTAATATCATTGCAATTGATAAAAGGTATCAACATGTCAAATAAGCATAAAAAAATTTCTACTTACGCAAAATATAAATATGATAGATTCCATGAAGTTGATTAACTTCCTCTTCCAAACCTAATCCAATGGCTAAACCGTCACAATATGAGTTTTAACTTTTGTGCACATGTCCCCCATGCTCCTAGTTCTATTTCTGCTTCCAGTTCTGGTTTGTGGATGTGGGTTGACTTCAAATCCTAAAGCATGTAGTCAAATTTAACAAATAATAATTGAAGAAGTAGCGATTGAATTCTGTAATAGGAGACGGCTATCTAATTAAAGCAGCTTTCATGATTAGTAAAAGTAGCATAAAGTCAAATGAGATCAAAATACACGAAATCTCATATGAGTTTCTTTACTTGTAAAGTAGTCCGAGTGTCCTCCACAAGTTATTGTCCCATGAACATAAAACGTGAATTATGGAACACAAGAAACTCTCTCAACTCTTTTTATTTAAATTCCATTTGGCCTTTCCCCTAAAGTTTGAAAGCAACTACACGCTGTCCCTTTCCCCTCCACTCGTTTTTCCCCTTTTATTTTGCTTTCAATGTTCAGTCTTTATTTATGGTGTGCATCTCTCTCTCTTTTTCGCTAAAATGGCTGCAAATCCAAAAGGGTAAGAGGGGAAGACTTGCAGCTCACTCTTTACTCAGCTTCTTGCGCTCTGCCCTCCCTAGCTAGGAAGAGTTAGCAGCTACTGCTCTAGCTGTCTGTATTGTTTGGTAGAAAAGTGATGGCTGTTCATTCCAAACGAGGCATCTTATTCTCTTTCTTTTTCTTGTTTTTCTTATCTTCTCAGGTTTTCTCTGTGTAATTGGAGAGCTTGGAGGTTATCAAATTAAACCACCCAGAGTCTGAGGTACCTATCAATTATTATATCCTTTTTTGTTTTGCTTTTCCTCACCATATTTGGGAGACAAGTTCAAAATTCTCTACTGTTTATTGCATTTGAAATGATCGCCAAAAGTGGACTGAAACGGTAAAAACTCTTGTGTTCTTGTAACTACTAGAATGACTTTTATTTCAATCAGGAAGACGAAATTTTGCTGGTTGACCAATTTTTAGGAAAAGAATTTGAAGAAATTATCGATGAATAATTCAAGATTGTTTGTTAATGGTCCCTATATTTGTTTAGATGTATGTTATGTCAGTTAATCAGGGCAACGTGTCTGTCCCATGCACGCGAGTCGGAATCCCCCCTCCCCACATAACCCACCTACCTACTCATCAGTTATGGTGTTCAACTGACTTGCACCAATAGACCACTATTGCATTGGAATTAGGCGCCCATCTTTTTACTGTTGTCAACTAATGTCCTCGATATATGATTTAACCCTATGTTAGAACATATTCTATGTTCTGTGCTAGGAAGCGTTACTCCTCTTTTCATTCCAAATTTAGGAACAAGACCGATACGATTAATTGGTCTGTGTGCCTCTGTCGTTACTCTTTTGTATCCCTGTTCCTCAGATACAATTTGATCCTTGTACGGCCAAATCTCAATTAGTGGAAAGCCTTCGATGCTTCCTTATGAAAACATCAATTTTTTTGGGGTGTAAACGATATCTCTTTATTCTTTATGACGTTGACCACACTTCTGATCCCTATTTGCATTTCTTCTGGTATGAGAAGTTATGGAATGCATGTGCAGGCTGATTGTTCTTCTTATGTTACTTGGAGGGAATATGTTTCATCTGGTTTTAAGAAGATAAGATTTCAGAAAAGAGAATTACATAAATAAATAATTTCGTGCAAATCTTTTTCTGTTTTTCTTTCTTCTAACCTACTTCATTATTTGGTTATTGGGGACGTCTCGGAAACTGTTTCCGTGAAGAAAAGGCGTGTTAAACAGTGCTCCAGTTTCCAGTTCTGCATAAAAATAAGGGATATTACTTGATAAAGTTCAAAACTTTGAGCTCAGTTGATTATCGATATGGAAGATGGATCAAGGTGCAAGTTGAAGGATCCTGGGGTCTCTATGAGGAAGCCATCTTCGAGTACTACATCTTTGAAAAGACCGCGACAACCCAATAACGAAACCAAGATTGCTGCATGCTTGGTTGATGGGTGCAATTCGGACCTTAGCAAATGCCGGGATTATCATCGACGGCATAAAGTATGTGAGCTCCATTCAAAGACCTCAAAAGTTACAATCAAGGGCCAGGAACGGCGGTTCTGTCAGCAGTGCAGCAGGTAAGTGGGATGCAATGGCTCTAGGAATTTCTATGTTATAAATGCATGCTGTGATGAAAATATGATTAGTCTTACAAACAAACAAGTAACATTTCTTTGTGACATGTCGAAGGTTCCATTCGTTGGTGGAATTCGATGAAGGAAAAAGAAGCTGCAGAAGACGTCTTGATGGACACAACAAACGTAGGAGGAAGCGTCAGTCAGAATCCATGTCCACAAATTTGGGAAGATTTCTTTCCAATTACCAAGGTTTGGAATTTTTTCCTGATAAAATGTATATCTGCTAATGTTTTCATTGGCTTAACTGAAAGCACAATGTGTGTTCTTTACTGTTCAAACTTATCATATGCAGGCACAAGATTCTTGTCATTCGGTAATCCACAAATGTGTGCAGCAAATGCTGTCATGAACTCTCCGTGGGGCTACGCATTGAAACCGGAGAATGATTCTGTGCTGCTTGATAACCACTCACAATTAAATGAGACAAGAAGAAGCTCATATACTTACCGAGAAAAACAAATCCCATTTGTGCAAGGCTTTGAATACGCGCACTCAGAAGCTTCTGTCTACCAACCATTTACAAATGCCAACTTTGCACTGGGAAATTCTAGCAACAGCCATAGAATGTTTGCCAATGGATTATACCGCGACAGAGAATCTAATTGTGCTCTCTCTCTTCTGTCATGGACACGAGCAACACAAGAGGAGATTGGGCTAAGCCACACAGCGCAGTCCAGTTCAGTATGCCCGGCTCAGTCCATGATCCCAAGAATCCACTACAAAAATGTGGGAGTGCAGGATGAGGCTGCAATTTCTAATTTGGTTAGTGATGGCAACAGCATTGGCAATCTCCACTGCCAGGGCAAGTTTCAGAATTCAAATTATTCCTGATGCCTCAACTGCTGGTGCATTCTACCCTTCTGGTGGGAAAAGTTTTATATGCAAAATTATCCCTCCTACTCGTTTGTCTTTTCAGTTAAGAACTTAACAGTCCCCAGAAGGGTGGAAATAATGATGCTGCTAAATGGGATTGTTTTTCCCATTTCTGAGAAGAATTATATTTTGCATAAGTGGAGTTTCCATGATGTAACCATTATGAGTTGCCACTCTGATTAATGTTTATGAAGTTGTTTGCTTTCATGACAAGACGATATGCGCAACCACTCTAATATAGAGGTGGATTCAAACTTCGGTGCAAGAGAGCAAAAACACTAGCCTAATGTTGCACTAGTTATGAAAAAAAAAATTTCTAGTACAAGTGATGGCATTATTCTAATTTACACTAAGAGGAGGGATGAATGTTTGAACACGAGGTGTAGTGGGTTAAAAAGAAGGACATTATCCACGAGGGCATTTCACGACATACGGTAGTTATGAAATAATTGGTTAGCGAGCATGCAAATATCTGCAGGTTTGTGAAACTTCACATGTTAGGAGGTAGTTTGGAAAATGGAGCTGTATGGGCTCGACGCAGCCCAGAATTATACTCTTCAACTGTTAGTTAAGTTAGTTTTGCTCACAGCCCAGTCAGTTAGTCCCAACACACCCTTTTTGAAAGTTTGGGTCGATCAGAGTGTCAACAACATGACACGAGGAGACAAACACAAGATAAATTGTTCGCAAACTTTACACTCTAGAACGATTGAGAGATAAGAAAAATTTTCACAGATTATAGATATAAATGATTATGCAACCGAGTTTGAATTTTTTTTCCTGTAATTCAGATTAGTTAGAGTAAAAATATCGATCACTAGTACTGCAATATAATACTATTTATCTTCACTTATAAGAAGTCTTAAGTTAAACGTTGAAAATACATAAATGATGAGACCGATACTAATTTGAGTCATTATCTTATCCTACATCAGTACACAATTCATTAAACCCTGCCATGATCATATGTGGTACTGAAGTTCACTCATGTTAAAGTACATGTTTTGTTTATTAATGTTCTACCAAAATTTATGAACTCATTGTCCAACCATATTATATCACGTGGTGAATCAAACCAGGATAATTTTAACTCCAACAAAATTTATTTGTTACTTCATCAACATAATTCATTAACTCCGTGTTTTCATCTTCTTAATTAGTCCCCTTATCAAAAACAATTGTTAATTGTGTTAAGATTATGCATGATTGTTTTGGACATAAGACCGCACTTTTCAATTAGAGAACCAAAACCAACTTAACTAAAACAACTTAGGGAGAATAAGAGTCAAACTTCACAGACAATGGATGAATGGAAAACGAGTTTTTTCTTTATTTTCCAGTTTAAGTTTAAAAATCTGTTTAACACATTGATTAATACTAGTATTAAGAAGAGAACCACGTATTTATTTGCCAGAAATAATTGATATATTTAAAGGGGAATATTTGTGTCGGTGTTGGGTTTCTGCTGCTGTCCAATTGTGGTGGTTGAAAGATGACCTAAAGTGGACAAAAAAGAAAACCAAATTAAGTTACTTTCGTTTTCATAAGTGAATACCTCCAATTCTTTAAACCCTAAACTGCAATCCCTCCCTCTGCAAAAGCCCCATCAGCGCACATGCTTCACCGCAACATTGCTTTCAGCACAATTATTATACTCTTGGTGGTGCATGGCATGGCGCACACAAACCCTAATTCAACACACACATGATCCGATGAGACATGGTTAAGTTTTGGGTTTAACTGTAAGTGGGTTTGTTCATATGTTAAATTAATGTAGCTTTGGTAAAAAGAAAAGTTAATTTTAAGGAAAACTAATGAAAAGGGTTTGAAAACTTTGAGTTTTAATGATAAGGACAAAATAAAGGGTAAAGTGAATAGTACCATGATTGACTTTTTAGTGTAAAAATGTGGTTTTTCGTTCAAGTGAACAGTACCGTGGGCTTTTCGTTAAAACTTCCTTAATTTTAATTAGAGAGAATAGGAGTATTGGTCTATGTATTTTGGCTCGATAGGGACAGTCTCTAATCTAAAAGTCTGTGAGTATATATTAGTCCTTAACTTGTCACAATGTAGAGCAACAGTCTTTGGATAAGATCGTTAAAACTTTCATACAAAATAAAGGGTTTAAAAAGGCAAATAAGGGATGAAAGTTATAATAGAATTTTTCAAAAGAACTAGTGCTACACATTGTGGCAAGCTCATGGACTAATACTCATTTTGTTCGAGGACCAGCGCTCCAAGTTAGCTAAAGCTTAGAGACCAATGCTCTAATTTTCTCGATTAATTAAGTGATGCTTCATCTAGTAGCCAAAGTTTTGTCTTGATTATAAACCATCGATTTTTTTGGGGCAGAAGGGAAAGTCTTCTGGGAAATCAAGGTGTTTTAGGTTGAAAATCCCTAATTTTCCAAGATTGGTTGATAACACAAGAGAGGCCTCGAAGCAAAAGTTAGAGTTTAGGGCACTAATCAAAGAAAAGTAAATAGGTTTTTCTGCAGTACATGCAATATGAAAGTTTCATTCCATCCTCCTATGTCTGCTTCTTGTGTTGTGTTTTTTATAGATAAGATTTAGGGTTGCAAGCCATGTGCATACGCGTTATTGAGGTGTTAATTAGTGTCGCCATATTAAGTACTTTAGAGTTGATTATGCCTATTAAGATCAAGTTACTAAGTAATCACGCAGATTGATTCCTTGTAATCAAGATTAGGTTAATTTCCCTCCTAATTAGCGGATGGTTTTAGACGTTATTGTTGACTAGCGACGTGATGTTTTCCTACTAAAATTCGTACATCGTGTACTTTGATTAACCCGTTGGACTCGGACTCGTTCGGGTAGCTTCATAAATCAAAAGGCACCCTATCTCTCTCTCACTTGGAATTGACTTAATTAGGAGCCAAATTGACAACTTAATCGCATTCACTTTTAAAGCAAGTTGCTAATCATGTTCAACTAATTAAATATGGTATAGAGCTTGTGTATGAAAGGAGTTTGGTGCCAGCAATATTCTTGTTAGCTAGGCTAAGTTTGATTGGAATAACGTGTCATGACCGCAATATGGGAAAATATTATCCCTCGTTAGATGCTATTCCTAGTTTCTAAGATTCCCATTAAAATTTTCCCCAAAGTAAAAAAGAATGGAACACCAATGATTAGCATCGAAACTATGGTAGGGGCAGATGTTCAACTCCATTCAATCTTATTCATCGCATGGAGTTATGCTTTTGTCAGCCGCTTAGTCATAAGTGAGAGTAATTTTTAATTGTTGATGCGTATGTAACATGCACTACGTCAATAGTCAAAGATTGCTCATGTTAACACGAGGTGATTCCCAATATTACTTATGGCTGAAAATCATTACGTTTATGTGTAAATAACTTCTCTAAATGTTTTTCTTTGTGGTATACTTTTCTTTTAACACATGATCAAAATCATATCCATATTGAGACCAAGAATATTGTTCTTCTATCTTGCTTTTTGTTGAAAGTATCAATATCATATTGGGAAAGAATGAACTTTGCATGAGTTTATAAGTTAGTTGAATTGTTCTCCATATTGCCAATTGATTTTACGATGGAACGTTAACTTTCTTCACTTTTAACGATGCCAAATACTCAAAGATAAAAGACTTTGAATTAATGGTGAACTAGCTAATAGTAAAAAGAAGGGAACTTTAATGAAAAGCTCTCGGTACTGTTCACTTTAACAAAAAATCATATTTTTACACTAAAAAGTCAATCAATCCTGATACTATTCACTTTACCCTTTACTTTATCATTATCGTTAAAACTCAAAGTTTTCAAGCATTTTTCTTTAGTTTTCCTTAAAAAGAATGGAACGATTAGCACCCAAATTAATTACTTGTGGTATGGGCTAATGCTCAGCCTATCCAATCACATTCAACATGAGTTGTGTTCTTGTCAGCAATAAATGATTCTCAATCGTTGATTCATGTCAAAAACACATTACATTAATGATCAAAAACCACTCACTCGAGCATAAACGACTGCATTAAACGTTTTTCTTCATCACATACTTTTCTTTTAACACATAATCAAAATCCCGAACAGATTGAAAGCAGAAGAATATGGTTCTTTTTTTAGGTTTTCCAAGGTGTCCCTAGGCAAAGTTCAGGACTAATCCTTCGATGTACGGTCGGGCATATATGCAGGGACCTCTCCCAAGAAAGTTTTCTGGTTTGCTTTGATCATGCTTTCAACAAAGCTAAATGACTCAAAGATAAAGACTTTGAATTAATGGTGCAGCGACGTATCTCACATTATTTTTCAAGGGGCAGTAAAGACCGGCCAGCAAAGAAACTGGATCAGTGTTGTAGAGAAGAAGACCCACTTGGACGTGACTTCCTTAAAGTCATGTGCCTAAATTGGAAAGGAGTCCACGTATCAATATGGTTGACGTCGATGGTGTTCGCCCAAAAATGGTAATAAATCTGACAACCCTAAGTACTCTACGGGCCCACTTATTTCAACTGTAGCCGTTGGATTTCCTTCATAATAAATTATGCCTGCCCGCTCGCTGGTCCCCACCCGTCCACCGCATTCAGTGTATGTAATGTGTGTGAAAGCGACAAGATTTACAATATTTGCATGTATAAGCTGGCTGTGTGACATCAAATTCCTTTCTCGACTAGTTCTAGGGTTCAGACTTGGCTTCTAATCTGGGCAGTTTAAATCTGACGATTCTTTATCCCGTTACGTTTGAGTCACCCATGAATAAAAAAATCAACGGGAAAGCGGGAAACTCAACCAGAACATAACACGATTAATTAATTAAGTCAATGTAATTCGCGACTTACTCTCCTCAAATGAAGACTTATTGTTTGGTGAAAAAAAGGGTGAGAGCTAGCAGTGAAATGTACGCTGAAACCCTAGCTAGTATATACAATTTACAAAGCATAAAAACTGAGAGTATAATTCCCTATTTTTCACCAAAGAAGCAAAGCGTCCGAGCATTGAAAACCGGAAGCATATACTTTTCCCATTGTTTTTAAACCCTTTTTCATGATTTCATCAACCCAATAAGTCCATAGATACCAATTACAAATGTACCGCATCGCAAACCAGATTGGTTAAAAAAGGTGAGTTAAAAAATGGAAATTTGTTCCAAAGATTGACAACACAAAGATCCCCCCGTGAGCTGACGAACAAGTGCTAGCTGCAGCAGCTACAAGCACTTTGATGATACATATATATT